GTGGCGACAGTGATGATGAAGTTTATGTTGGAGATATGCCCTAGAGGCAATCATGTATGATGATATTTCCTATGTGTTTATGAATAAAGATAGTCCTTGGACCTTATCAATGATGTGTATCAGCAAGTACGTGACTTGTTTGTGGGACTATGCTCTGTATGATGACTGTCCTAAAAGGTCCCTAGTCGAAAAGGGTTGTGTAGACGCGTAGCCGACTAGACTAGCATATGACATGGTCGATGGCTTGGTCTCACTAGCCATGGAGCATTGGATGCTAATCGGATAATATGGACTCGGAAGGATCTGGTCGGATTCGACGTAGTCATATCCAAGTTGAGATAAGGTCTGAGTCGGACAGGCCCAACTATGAGATGCAGCGATATGTCATCTATGAGTCTCTAGTACAGCATACATTCTATGTCCTACGACCTGAGCAGGCGCATGTACTCGGGATGGTGGCAGACTTGCTTTGGGCCAACCAAACACTACTCCATGACTGGGTAGTTACAAAGGTAGGTTTCGGGCTTGTCCAGATCCATGCTGTGAGATATGGTCGAGCAAGATGGGATTTGCCCCTCCGATCAGGAGAGATATACTCTGGGTCCCTCGTGTGATCCGACCAAGAAAAACATGGCCATGCGATTAGGATTATGAGATAATCCAGTTTGTGGTCGACATCACTGGAATGAGAAAGAGGTCGAACTAGCACAAGGATGACAAACTCGCCTTGAGCCCGACAACATATATCGTGTGGCAAAGGGAACAGAAGTATGATGTACAGGTTCGCCTAACCAGCTTCATAGTTTTCTTGGTGTTCGGCATGCCTTTCTAGGGGCCGCTACCAACCGTGCAGTTCGGAGGTGATCCGAACTACGACCAAGCCGGCTTGAACCTAAGGGGTCGTGTTCTTAAGGGAAGGAACATATGAGGTCGGATCCGAGGACACTGGTCGGATGTGATCTGAGCTGTGTTCGGATTCTGGCTAAGTAGACTTATGGGATTTAGTGTCCGTGCGAGGCCCAAGTGTTGATCCCACGATGGACGCCTATATAAAGTGGGGGTGCGGCACACTCATTAGATTGATCACTTCGGCGTTGTCACTAGGGTTTGCATGTGTTGCGAATAGCCACCTCCACTCGACCGCCGACTATGTGATCGGACCTAGCAGTCCGCCACATGGTGTTCCTCCTGCACGCGCGGATACCGTTAGAGGCGGTGCACTTGCATTGCTCCGGAGAACTTGTGTGTGGGAACCAACGACCTGCTGTTCGAGGGAGATCGGACGAGGAGGAGACGAATCACGCGGGCGCGCTGCCCCAACTCTTCTTCCACTGCACGGCACTGCGCATCTAGTGGTAACGATCTGTGATCCATCTCCCGTAGCATGTTCTTGGTTTTTCTGTGTGTAGGAATATTTTAATTTGCAGTCGACGGACCCTACCGTAGACCTCAACGGTTTACTGGCGCAGGGCTTCGCCTAAGCACTACAACGATATGACCGAGGTGTGTAACTGTGGAGGGGGGCACCACACACGGCTAAGAGAAACTTGTGTGTTCTTTGGGGTGCCCCCTCCCACGTATATAAATGGGGGAGGAGGACGGCCTAGAGGGGGGGCGCGCCATGGGGAGTCCAACTAGGATTCCCAATCCTAGTTGGAGTCCCCTTCCATCCAAGAGAGGGAGAAGGAAGGAAGGAGGAAAGGAAGAGAAGGAAGGAGGGGGGCACCGCCCCCTCCCCTTTTCCAATTTGGACTGGGCAGGGGCGCGCCGCCACCTCTGGCCGGCCCTCTCTCTTCTCCACTAAGGCCCATGATGGCCCATTAACTTCCCCGGGAGGGGGGGGGGGGTCCGGTAACCCCCGGTACTCCGAAACTTATCAGAAACGACCCGAACCATTCCGATGTCCGAATGTAGCCTTCCAATATATGAATCTTTATGTCTCGACCATTTCAAGACTCCTCGTCGTGTCTGTGATATCATCTGGGACTCCGAACAAACTTCGGTTCATCAAAACACGAAACTCGTAATACAAATCGTCATCGAACGTTAAGCATGCGGACCCTACGGGATCGAGAACTATGTAGACATGACCGAGACACATCTCTGGTCAATAACCAATAGCGGAACCTAGATGCTCATATTGGTTCCCACATATTCTACGAAGATCTTTACCGATCAAACCGCATAACAACATACGTTGTTCCCTTTATCATCAGTATGTTACTTGCCCGAGATTCGATCGTCGGTATCATCGTACCTAGTTCAATCTCGTTACCGGCAAGTCTCTTTACTCGTTCTGTAATGCATCATCCCATCACTAACTCATTACTCACATTGCTTGCAAGGCTCATAGTGATGTGCATTACCGAGAGGGCCCAAAGATACCTCTCTGATACACGGAGTGACAAATCCTAATCTCGATCTATGCCAACTCAACAAACACCATCGGAGACACCTGTAGAGCATCTTTATAATCACCCAGTTATGTTGTGACGTTTGATAGCACACACGGTGTTCCTTCGGTACTCGGGAGTTGCATGATCTCATAGTCCGAGGAACATGTATAAGTCATGAAGAAAGCAATAGAAGAAAAACTAAATGATCATTATGCTAAGCTAATGGATGGGTCTTGTCCATCACATCATTCTCTAATGATGTGATCCCATTCATCAAATGACAACACATGTCTATGGTCAAGAAACTTAACCATCTTTTATTAACGAGCTAGTCTAGTAGAGGCATACTAAGGACGCTCTGTTTGTCTATGTATTCACACATGTACTAAGTTTCCGGTTAATACAATTCTATCATGAATAATAAACATTTATCATGATATAAGGAAATATAAATAACAACTTTATTATTGCCTCTAGGTCATATTTCCTTCACCGCGGAGTTAGGCGAGGCGGCCCTAGGTTTTCGTGTGAGAAGACGGATATGCGGTGTCTACTGTTTTTTTGTGCGCTTAAGGGAAGAGGGGCGACAAAAATGAATTGGTGGAGATTGGATGTGGAGTGGGAGGATGAGCGAAAGGCTTGGCAGTACACGACCCTTCTGGCAGGAAAGGAACCTTAGGTTATTTTTAGATAGTAGAGATAAATAGAACATCCTCTCCGATTTCATTTAAAGGAACCTTAGGTTCTTTTTAGATAGTAGAGATAAAGAGAACATCCTCTCCTCGGCCTATCTAATTTCATTCCCCTAGCACCGGGAAGGCCGAGGGCGCGCCAGAGAGGAAGGTGCAGAGGAGCTTCCTAGGGGAATGGGCTGCCGGCAACGGGCAAGGGCGGTGACGCAAGCAGAGGCGGGGACGGGGCGGCTGGCGGCGAGTGTCAGGCAAGTTGTAGCTTCGTGTGTGTGGTCATGTGCTCGGCCGAGAGCGAGAGAGCCTCACGGGCGTGGTTTTTTTTGGGTCAAATGTTACTGGGCCAAAAATTTCTTTCTTTGGCCCATCTCTATAGGTATATAGGCCAAAACTAAATCCCAGGGTGGGCCGCGGCCCACCCTGGCCACCCTGTAGCTCTGCCCCTGCCTATCAACACGTATAAGCTTTTGACGACCGAAAATATAGATCATCTATCGTTGCTATTACATAACAACGGTGGTGCCCACGGACATCGTGACCTTATTGAGGGTGTTGGAAGTTCTTCCTTTTTCATGTTATCTTTTTTTAACTGATTGTCTTGTTAGCTTAATTCCTCTTGATGTTGCAGAAGCAGTACATAAACCTTGATTCTTCTGGATGCGACTTGACGCTCTTATATAGTTTTCGTGTTTTGGTTCTATACGAACTTATAGAAATGGATACCTAAAACCTATGCCATGAGATTTCACAGCTATGAAAGGCTCTACATATTTCACATCCTCTTCAAGTTACACAAACATGAAAGGATCTTTGGGTTGCCCGTTTTGTTCTTGAGCACCTGTATCCAATGAGGAGGCGACATGTCTGTGGACAATTGCGCGCAAGTGACCGATTACTTTCTAGACGGCGTGCAACCACTCCGACAACGGTCTATGGCGAGGCCAACAGCACCGACATGGACACCTCTGCTGCCTTCTCGACCAACACATGTTCAGCATCTCGTTATTGGTGTTTCATGTTTGCTTTGCTTTATATGTAAACATGGCTAAAATGCTTCTATGTTATTACTTGTGCAAACTCGCATGTCTATTCTGCCATTGATCACGAACGATGCATATTTTCTATGTTACTTTTCTGGTTCAATCTTGGTCGCAAAATTTTATAGTACTCTCAACGACTTCTGTTGGCAGGTCTTGGTTGTAGTCTCACTATCCAAGCACATGCTATCATTTGGTTTCAATAAAAAAACCGGCAATTTTATCAACTACAAAATGAGTTTTCATGCAAATATTGACTCAGTGGTGTCTGAATTTGTTTAAGATCTTCAAAACCAAAAACAAAATTGCACGTTAATACGATATGTAATACTCCGATCCGATCCATATTAATTGTCAGTGCTTTAATACAACTTTAGTAGGGAGTATTACAAGTTTTTATTTTTTATTTAACAGTAAAGGAGTATTACAAGTTTACAACTAAGTGTTTCATCTTATCTTCTATCACATAATATCTTTGGTCAATAATGACAAAATGAAATGCATTTGACTCTGATTAAAATGGTCATATTATTACATTTTCACAACACGTTCACTTTGTTCGCTGGCAGGGCTCTATGACTTAAAGTTCGATTCTGGCAAAAATAAAAAATAAAAGCCTAAAGTTATATTATGAGTGTGAAAGTGAAGCAACCAATACCAACTCAACACTCAAATCACATGGTGGCTATTTCCTCGCATGCATGTAATTATAAGACACTTGCCGAAATAACAGTATGGCATGAAGCTGCAACAGATTAACCGTACCATTGTAACTTCACAACCGGAAACGCCGGGACAATGACACACGTCCAGCCCATATAACTAGCCACGATCTAAGACTTAGAATAAACCCACCATTGACTAGGAGTAGTATATCCATGGAGGCGACCATGGTAGTAATGGTACACGCCCTTGCCGCCATCCTTACACTCTGGCTGATCTCGAGGTCCCTGTGGCATCTGGTATGGAGGCCGTATGCCTTCGTCGGCTGGTTTGAACGGCAGGGGATACGAGGGCCACCTTACAGATTCGTCCTTGGGTCTTTGTGGGAGATGAAACAGATGTTGATTGCCGAGAGAGGTAGTCTGTGTCTCTTAGCGCTATTTAAAATGTTTGTTCATTTGTTTGGACCAAAGTCTCTTAGCGCAAGACCTTTTGTAAACGCTATAGCGTGCTATAGCGGAGCTATAGCGGGCTATTTAAAACAGTGCGAGAACCTCAAGGTTGTTGCAACACGGTAGTTCTTTTTTAATCTATGCAACACGGTAGTAATTAAGCTTATTTTAGCCGTCTGCTTTGTTGGACTAAATTAAATGGCCTACTTTTGGTGGTTTATCCTATGGGGTAGTCTGTGTCAGCTATGACAGGGGAAAGCACACAAAAGATGATTGTGCAATGGTGCAACCTAATAGAAAAGGGTGACGGCCACCAAGCCAAGATAGACATGGGGTGCTACGCTGAAGAGTTGACTCTAGGAGTCATCGAACGGGTGATCTTCGGCGCGCACTACAAAGAAGCCCGGGAGGTGTTCGCCGAGGGCAAGGAGATCAAGAAGCTCGTGGTGCATGCGCTTGCAGATCCTCGAATACCCGGATTTAGGTATAAACATTTGTAGATTTAGCAAAACCGCACATTAATTAAGCATTGGAAGGGCAGCCAGATCACACTATATGTCTAGCTAAATAAAATTTTGTTGGTGTATACAGATACCTGCCGACCCGCCGTAACTTTCAGGCATGGAAACTTGACAGGTCGATAACGAGCAAGATAACACGGCTCATAAAGGAGCGGCTTGCCAGTGGTGTCGACGGAGATGACCTAATCGGGTTGATGCTGCGGGCAAACAAGTCAGAAGAAGTCGAGTCATTGAGCAGCGATGATATGATCAGTGAGTGCAAGACCATCTTCGCCGCAGGGCAGGACACAGGTGCCACCCTCCTCACCTGGGGGATGTTCTTGCTCACCATCTACCCAGAATGGAAAGAGAGGCTCAGGGAGGAAGTGCTGAGAGAATGCAGGGATGATGATGGCGAAGCCCCCTATATCAATAGCATCAAAGTCCTTGGCAAACTCAAGCTAGTATGTGCATATAAGACATAATACTTCGATTCATGTCTTATAAATTCTCTGATATCTTGGTGCATATATGCCAATGCAGCTTAACATGTTCCTTCTTGAGACACTGAGGCTCTACAGTCTCCTGCCGTTCTTGCTGAGGAAGACCGCGTCTGACACAACATTAGCAAACATCAAATTTCGAAAAGGAACCATGATAACAATTCCGGTCATGACGTTGCACCGGAGCAAGGAGATTTGGGGCCTCGACGCCGACGAGTTCAACCCCATGAGGTTTGAGAAAGGCGTCTTGGGGGCTGCCAACAACACGTATGCAATGTTGGCCTTCTCATGCGGGCCACGTGGGTGCCCAGGGAGGAACTATACCATGATCGAGGTGCAGACTGTGATGACGATGATCCTGAGAAGATTCTCCTTCTCCCTCTCTTCCCAGTATGTTCACATGCCCAGGAACTTCATCTCACTTGCACCTAGGTATGGCCTTCCCCTAATCGTGAGGAAACTGATGGATGGAGAAAAAAAGTGACATTTAATATATTAATTTGTGTCGTTTGTAATAAATAATATCTATGTTCTGCCTAGAAAAGAGGCAAGATGGATGTGCGGCGTGTGATGTGCTTTGTAAAATTGATGTGATTTGGGAAGGTGGCACACAAGTAAATAAACTCCAATCTTGGTTGTGTATGTAGTTGTATACTTGTATGTTTAAATCCTCTTGAGACACTACAATGTTGTCTCATGCATTGTGTCCTTTGAATTCATGTATAGTTGATATTTTTAGAAAGAGATGTGTTTCCAATAACCCCATATACCGTAATTTGCTATACTGATATGGAGGTAGTCAAGCAAGTGCTTACAGACAGGGCAGACTTGTTGCAAAAGGTCCACCTGAATCCAATCATGGAAAGCATCTTACACAACGGAATTGTACTCTCAAATAGATCATTTGAAGCGGATCGCAAAGTCATTTAATCGATCTTCGACAAGGAGAATCTTAATTGGGGGTCTTTCATTTTTGAAGATGAGAAGATTTCTAGTCATCAAGATGCCCCAAACTGCTAAGAACATAATTTCCATTGCATAAGGACTTCAAAGAGCCGACTTGAGTTGTGAGTTTCATCTAAATGGGAGATACATCTATGTCTTGAGGGGCAGATGTCATCAAAGCACTGTTGTTGGGGAAGCTCAAGACCCTCACATGATTTGCCGTTGTGTTCCGGCGAACTTCGGGCTCTTGGTGTTGTCCGTTCACCTTTGTTAAATCACGGCACAATGATGCCTCCTCAACTTGATAATCGTTCTGATTTTCCATGGCAGAGCCCCCAATCAAGGTTCGTGTTCAAGCATTCGCTTATTCTGGATGCTCCTATGTTGTCTGGTGGGGTTCGGTACGCACGCCGGAGCAGTGCGTTAGGTTGTTTTCAAAGTATTGGTATTGTGATCCCTCGACGACACCCAACATCTACTTGTGCATTTCGTGGTGATGGTCTTTCTGGGCGTCCATTTCCTCTTCTTCTTTTAACCTTGTTACTTGTTTGGTTTTCAGCCGGTTTTCCTCACAAATGGGATCAACTTGTTCAGGTTTTCAGTCTGATTTTCCTCATAAACATGATGAAGGTTTTCGATCCAGTTTCCAAAAAGATATTTAAACACTGTTGTGTAGAAGTACAATTTCGGCTAAATGGATCTTTTAGTGTTTTCCTGGCAGATCACACAGCTAAAACTTGGGACTTCGGAATTCAAATGTATGATGAGGAGAAAAATTCACTGTAGGTACCAAAACTTGAGCTGGCTGACACTTTAGTACCACTATTTCAAAATACCCGAACTACAGTCCATGTACTTGCGCAGAGGGTTCACTTTGGTCTGTATCTACGTTTTCGTGTACGTATTCGTTGACTTAGCCGAGTCAGCGGCCGCCGGCTAGGCTTTGACCGCCACCTGGTCGAGCGTGGGTTAATACTACTGCATCCGGGGGGTGCAAAATCGCCAAACCTGGTCGACCGACCGCGCACCTGGTCGCACCTGGTCGGCCTGCTCCCTTATCCCCTTGCTCTCCACTTCCTCTCCTCCGAACCCTAGCCTCCGCCGCAGCCATTGTCGATGTCGTCGCCCTCCGCCGTCGCAGCCATTGCCGACGCCCTCCTCTGCCTCCTCCTTCATGTCGTCTTCCAGCTCCATCCGCTCTGCACTTCGTGGCCGCTCTGTTGTTGTACCATTGATCGGGTGCTCGGATTGCGGCGAGCAGGTGAGGTTCTACCGGTCTGGCACCGATGAGCATGATGGATGGATCTTCTACAAGTTCGTGAACCACCATGTAAGTGCCAGTTCAGTAGATTGATTCATGCCTTGTCAACTCATTGTAGTATTGAAGTAGAGCACTGATTAAATTGGTCTTTAGGTTCTCTCCAGTAGTTGAGATTGTCCTTGGTTGCAAAATCAGTTGGTTAACTAGTCATTGCACTGATTAATACAGTAGTTGGTTAACTAGGTTGCCATTGATTCATTCACTCTGTAATTTCTGTTCTCAGGTCACTTGTGATTTTTGGCGCTGGGAGCTTGAATATGTGCAGCATCTGGTTGAAACAAGGAGTCCGATTGGTGATGCTGTTGTAGATGCAATTGGTGCAGCTGAGGACAGGAGGGAAGAGCCTGAGAGGCAGAGGACTGAATCAATGGCAGGCAGAGGCACAGTTGGAACGGGCATGGCTGGGAGAGGCACGGCTGGAGGAGCGAATTATGCCAGCTCCATTGAGAATAAGTATGCTACCAAGCAGCAAATTGCTATGCTTTTAGGGTTAGGCAGAGAGATTTTGCTGCTGCTAAAGCTGCTGATGGCTTTTGTTATAGTGCTTTGTGTGATGTGTTTCACCTTAATTATGAAGAAGTGAAGTGTTGCTAATTGAGTAGGTGCAGGTGTTCTAAGAGATCTCTTGTTCTAAACTGAGCATACTAAAATGCCAGTGTAGAGATCTTTTGTTTGCTCAGTATGAAGTCTTGGTTGTAATGCTTGTTGTAATGGATAATATGTCAGTAATGTGAAGTCTGCTTGACCTAATTGCTTTGAAATTACTGACAGATATATTTGATGTCAGAAGTGTAGTTAAACTAATTCTGACAGTAGTTTACCTAATTCAAATTCTGTCAGAACTGTACTTAACCTCATTGCTTTCAAATTACTGACAGGTTAACTTATTATAACTAATTGCTGTCATAAATGTAACTCATGTCAGCCCAGGCCCCCTTTCTCAACACAACTGAACTCAAAAGCAAGCTTGTACTTGCACCTGCTGCAAACACCCACCCAGCAACTTGCACTCTACATGTAGCTTTGGTCCACCACCAGTCCACCACCACCATCAGATCCCCTTCTTCCTCATCTTTCATCTTCAATTTCGTGCACCACCAGATCCCTTCTCTCCTCTGTCCAATAGCACCAACAGATCCCCTTCTCATCTCCAGTTAGCAGCAACCATGGTGTCCTGGGATGATCTTCCCAGTTCTTCTGAAGATGACTCTGTGACCAGCAAGGTTAGTGTGCTCTCTCAATTAAACACCCAGTCTAGGGTTTCTCAGCTAGGGTTTCTCTCTCAATTGATTCCAAATGTCTCTCTTTTGTTTAGCCACCTACCACAATTTCCTATGAGGAATGGAGTGGCTTGGCTACAGATCTGCCTAGCTTTAGATGTGGGCATGGATCTTTGTGTGAGAAGCATGTGGCATTTGAATCTGTTGATAGTGGCAGAAGGTTTCTAGCTTGTGCACAGAAGGTTAGTAATTTTTTTTGCATTTGGCACTGTTAAACAGGAAGTCATTTGTAGTATGTTTTAAGTTTCATCATCATGCACAGAATTGAATACTGGCAGTTAACTGAATTTTTGGTTTGGTCTAAATTGTTAGGAGGTACCTAAATGCAGATATGTTGAGTGGGTTGCCCCTGAGTGGCCTGATGCTCTGAAGATGAGCCTAGCTAGTATATGTGCCATGTATGAAGAGGAGAAAAAATAGAGGCTCAGACAGAATGTTGTGAGTGCTGAAGAAAACTTGAAGGTTCTTGAAGAGAAGCAGAAGATGAGAATGAGTTGAGGCATTTCAAGCTTGATTTTGCTAAGATGTTGGCTGAGAAGGAGCAGGCAATGAGCCAATTAGGCAGCACACAACTTGCTCTGACTGGTCTAAAGGAAGAACTTGAGAAGAAGAAGATGACAGACAAGTCAGTAACCAACATTCATTAGGTATTCAGGGTTAAAGCAGATAAAGAGAGGGACCAAGCAGTGCAGGAGAGGGACCAAGTGATTCAAGAGAGGGATGACTTGAAGCATGAGAAAAGGAAGCTTAAGTACATGATCGGTGACATATTCAAACACAAAGAGGCCACCAAGGAGAAGATAAGGAAGCTGAAGGGCATGCTGGATGAATTTGTGTCATTGTAAAAAAATGACTTTGTATCTTTCCTAGAATGTGTACCTTCTGTCAAATGAACATGAACCTCCTCCTAGATTTGTGTCATTTGTACTTTCTGTCAAATGTTAACTAAATTGGGTTTAGATAACTAAATTGGGTTCAGATAAGAAATTGAAGTGGGTTCAGATAAGAAATTGAAGTTAACTGTCAGTGCTGCTTCTTTTGGAAAGATTTGCTGTTTTTTATGACTGAATTTGTATGCCTGTACCAAATTACACAAAAAGAGTTTTGCCTAGGTCTCGAACCCAGGACCTGTGGTATTGAACGTTGGTGGCAATGCCAGTGGGGTAAGTAGTAATGCTTTGATCAAGAGCAGGTACTAACCTAACTATTTAGTACTAGTTGCTGGTGGCAACGCCTCTTCGGTTTCCTTCTCTCCTCTTTAAGCCCACCCACCCATCGCTCCACTCTCCACTCACCTTCAGTCCACCGCTCCACTCTCCACTCACCTTCAGTCCACCGCGTCGCCTCGGTTACCCCGCACCAAACCCCCACTTAGTCATCAAGAAAACCCTCACCGCCGACCACCACACCGCCGCCGCGGACATGGAGAACAGCCCCGTCTGGAAGAGGGTCATCGATGACCTCGCAGGCGATGACAAGGCCATGCGCGCGAACCTGACAGAGATCGGGAAGTGGTTCCCCAGCTGTGCGATGCTGCGTCACCACGCGCGTGGCCTCTTTAAGGCCATGACCGATGATGAGCTGGACCGCGCCTGCCCCAATCACAATGGTATCCATTATGCACTCGTCCTCCGCTTCGCGATGCAGGAGACGTGCTCCGACGACCCGGGGCAGCGAGCCTAGTGGTGGATGTAGCAGTCTGCCACTGCGTCGCGGCAGCCGGATCCGTTGCGTGTTGTCTCGCGAATGGAGCGCGTCCACAACGTCGACCTGGCCGTCCCCGCGCCTGTCAACACGGCCTACTGGGACCACTACCAACCCGACTACCTCGGGCGCGATGACGTCTCCGAGTACATCTCGTCCGACTCGGAGTATGACTCCGGCTCCGACGACGACTCTGGCTACGCCACCGACTCATCCTGGTCGACTGGCTGGGAG